TTTTGTTGTCTCACAAACTAGTTAATGCTTTCATATTGAAATAAGCAAAACTATCATAAAACTCATCAATTAATTATACTTGTTAAATGTTATAAAAATTTACTTCATATAATTTTACCAAAAAAAAAAACGAAACAATCTAATTGCTAGGGATTTGAAAATTTTAATTGAAAATTGAATATGACTTACTAATTCAACCTATTATTTTTTTTTTACATCTGAATGGATCAGAATCAAATCACTAAATATTATCATGGTTTTTTGACAAAACAGGATGTTCAACCACTGCTAAAAAAGGACGGTGATTTTCTTATCCGGAAAACTGACTGGAAAGGTTTCCACTTGTCTGGACATTATCATGTACAACAAATTAATCCCATGTTCTTTTCTGGAATTTAATCCTTTTCCTTTTTTACACTTAACTTAAAATTGGTACTACGAATTAGTTGAAATAAAATTTTGATAGTTTCAAATTTTGGGCAAGCTTTAAAACAATAATGATTTAAATTTTCAAAATTTCTTTTTCAATTTTTTAATAATTTTAGATATAATAACTTTATCACTTGATGTATGCACAAATAAAGGAATAAAACATTTTATAATCAATCAAAATGCAAATGGTGAAGTTTATATTGAAAAAATTAAGGTCAACATATTTTTTTTTTTTTTGAAATATATTAAATCACTAATTGAATGATTTTAATGATTTTAACGAAGTGTTGATATGAAAGAATGTTACAATTGATAGTAACACTTTTGTATTTTTTGCTGTATTAAACATTTTAAAACAAAAACGAAAAAATTTGTTCGATAAATGTTTGAAACTATTATTAGTAACTGAATAAACTTTTAAACAGAATTTTTATAATCGTTTTGAAAATATACGCTTTTTTTTCCTATTTTTATTGCCTAGCAGAAATCATTTTAATTGTTCGAGAAATTTTCCAGTAAATTTTTCTTCGTAACATTTCACCTGTCAACTTTGATATTATTAAATGCATTTTTATTCAAGAAAAAAAAAATCAAATGCATTCCGGAATTTCACTAAAACTTTCTCTTTTTGGAGTGTTGAAATAGAAAGGATACGTTGCAAAAATTCATTTTTCCAAGAGTTGCATGCATTTTAAAACGATGAATTGAAGAATGAAGTGAAGCAGCTATTTGCGGAATGAATAAAGAGAAGGATTCAGAATGAAATGGACAAATTTGAATAAATTTTTGGCAAAAATATGAATTCAAAAATATTTCATAGTATTAGCAATTATATCATAAATTTGCGCAAAAATTTTATAGAAGAAATCGATTGATGAATTGATTGAATGGTATTTATCAAGAAAAATACCTCTAACACAAAGTTGCCAAGTAGTTCTAAAGAATGGAATTGAAAGGCCTAATTGGCTTCTCAGAAATTCACAAGTAAAAATGGTCAAAAAACTTGGTGAAGGAGCATTTGGCGAGGTTATCAAATAAATTAATAATTTAATAATTCAAAAAATAAAAATAGTAATAATAATTCATGGTGGAGCTGGAAATTTAAAATTAACATAAGATTAGTTAATACGGTGCAAACAAATGATAATTTAATCACCTTAACTAATTACTTCTAGTTTGATTGTCTTAATTAATTACAAATTTGTCCTGTAAAATATCACTGCAATTCCATTCATTCTTTTCTGCTTTGCAATATTTTTTGTTCAGTATTTCCAATTAATTAATCCAGAATTACACCTATAAAACTCATTAATAATCTTTTTTTTTTCGCTGAACTATAAAAAAAAAGCTTTCTTCATGAAAATATTTTTTTTTTCAAAAAAATTTCAGTAATAATTAACATTTTTGCTTTTTTTTTTTGAAATTAAAATATTTAGGTTTATTGTGGTGAATATACGGATTCAAATGATCATGTCCATTTAGCAGCAATAAAAACAATGCATGATAAGGCTTCACGTGTAGCACGTTTTAATTTTCTTAAGGAGGCACGTATTATGCGTAAATTTAATCATCCAAATATTGTTCGCATTTTTGGTATTGTTGCTGATCAGTCACCGTTTTTGATATTAATGGAACTCTGTGAAGGTTTTCAGTAAAATAATCATTCCGTTTAATTATATTTGAAACAATTTAATTATACTTTGTATTGAAGTTTGAAGAAGTAATTGAAATTCAATACTTGAATTGCTGCGACCGATGTGGAGTGATTAGTCGTAAAATCGAAATGAACTCTTTCATTTTTCCGTAATTTGTTTAAAACCAAATTAAACAATTATTTAATTGCATTAATTTATTAAAATGGAATTGTTAACATATTATTAGCATACTAATTAAAGGAACAAAATTGATAAAAGTTTCATGATAGTGTCAGAATCAAGTTTTAAATATCTGTCGGGCAGTTTTGGAAAAAATTTCCCGGTATTTATCAAAGAATAAAAGGAAATTTGCATTGATTTAATATAAAAATGTTTCATTTCATATTAATCAGTATTTTTTTATCAATGATAATAAAAAAATGATGGAATAAATTAGCTAATTACAAAATAATTCAGGTGGATCAACATTATCATTTTTGAGAAAGAATCGTGGAATGATTGTACCACAATTAAAATTACGATTTATAGCAGAATGTGCTTCAGGCTTAAAATATCTTGAGCAAAACAATTGTATTCATAGGTATTTATTGAAATTAAAAAAACAATTACTTCATTAATCTAATCAATTCTTTCAACATTGTTTATAACAAATAATTGCTAAAAATAATTATTCTTTATATAGTAAATTCATATTTTATCATTAAAATAACTTTTTCAGTATTTTTCGCAGCAAAATTTTATAACAAAATTGTTGTTTCATAAATTTCATAATAAAATTCTTGAAAATAAGTGTTCATTTTGATAATTAATTCATATTTTATCATTAAATAATTATATCTATTGAAAAGAAAAAGAAAATTGAAAATTTTCTTAATCATTTTTTATGTTCTTTCAAGGGATATAGCAGCTCGAAATTGCTTGCTAACACGAAATTATCATATCAAATTAAGTGATTTTGGTATGTCTGACGAAAAAACACCCATCCAGGATAAAAGTCTCGACAAAGTAGGACTAATTTTTTCTTTTGTTCTTAGAAAATTTCAAAAATACTATTATTAATTTCAAATACTATTCGTTTTTTTTTTCATTTAAATTTAGAAAAAAGATTTGAATGATGATTTTCAATATATGTGCACTACGAAGAATAATTGGGAAATGTTATACGAATTTGATTAATGATTCTATTCCGAATCTTTTTGACGTTATTGCTAAATTGCAAATATTTTACATTAGAATTGAAAAAAATCATTAGATTGGAAATTAATAACTAAAGAAATTAGAATATGATTACTAGAACAATTTGTAGTATAATATTAAAAGATAAATGATGAAATGATTTTAGCTGATTTTGAAATCATTTCAAAATTTAAAATTGTGAACATGAACAAAACCCATAGAAACATAAATAGTAGTTTTATATCATATATAATTTTGCAGAAAAACTTTTATTGATTGAATCAAGTAATTAGTTTTCAAGTACCATAAATTATTGCAGGTACCAATTAAATGGTTAGCACCAGAAACAATGCAAAATCGAATTTACTCAACCAAAACCGATGTATGGTCGTATGGTATTATGGTAGGTATTGTTAGTATAATTTATTGCTTTCATAGATTAATTAGTTCCATCCATTTCATTCAGCAGCAAATGAGTAATTCAATAAAATAATTGAGAATTTTTTTTTAGTATACCTAAATATTTTATTGAAAAAATGAAATATTTATGAAATTTTAATTTTAAATTAACAAAATGAGATTTAAGTTAAGCTTAAATAATAACTGTTATCTCGTTGGGTTCATTTAATTTGCATTCCATTTATATTTGAGATTTAAGATTGGAAAATTACATAAAATTGTGTTTTCGTTTTACAAGATTAAAAAAAAAAAAAAAAAAACGATGATAAAAATGGAAATTTTGCATGTTTGGGAGGTGTATTCGGAAGGCTGTGAACCGTATCCATCATTATCAAATATACAAACAAGAGCTAAAATTATTGTTCAAAATTATCGCATGGATATGCCACAGGTAATTTATCACTCAAATATTTCAAATTTGATTATTCGAATTATTAAATTGATTAATTAAAGCAATTGAATTAAATTGAAGCCATATTCTTTGCTATAATTTGATACTGAATTAGAAATTGCAAAATCTTGCATAAAATTTTTTGCTTAATTTTTACATTTGACTTGCTAAATTTTAATTTAACCAATTCATAAAACCAAATAATACCATTCAAAATTATTCATCTAGCTAATAAGCAGCACAAAAATCAAAATATATTATTCAATATTGTTTAATCATTTAATTCATTATTTGGATTTTTCATTGTTAAATTCAAAAAATTTGCTACCTTTTAGTTAGGCTAAAATTTTGCACTTACCAATTAATTCAAATAAAATTTTGCTTATCAATTATTTAAACAAATTTTTTTTTTTTGGCAATTAATTAAACAATCTTTTTAGGGTACACCACCAGAAGTGACATTACTTGTTAGCAAATGTTGGGCTAAAAACCCCATCGATCGGCCATCATTTGCAAAAATTTGTGATGAATTGAAAGGATTAATTGATTTCACTGAAACAACAATATCATGCAGTGAATGAGAATGAAAATTTTTGCAATTTATTTTGCAAAATTTTTCAAACAAACAAATTTCCGCTACGATTTGCAAAATTATTGTGTTCAGAAGGAGGAATTGGAGAAAAAAAAAGTGTAAATTAAATCAAAAAATATTGTAATTATTGTACAAAATCAATTAAATAAAATTGAAATAGATTTAATTTAGGCAAATAATATTTGAACTATCAATAAAATTTTTATTGCACGATTGATTTTATTCAAAGAAAGCATCAATGCTATAATATTAGCAAATTTTGAGTAATTTTAAAATTGCCAAAAAAAAAAAATTCTTAATATTACTAAAAATTATCATTTGAAAATTTGATAATTTTTTTTTTCTGATTTCGTACGTTTTGTTTGTATAAAGATGGATAAAGAAGATGAACAGATAATGAGTAGAATTTAAATGAATGAATATTTTAATAAATGTGAATATAACAATGAAAGATAAAATATAATAATTAAACTTATATTTATTATTTATTTATACCAAAAATAATTATATTTATTATTCATTTATTTCATAATCACAATTATTTGACCATTTTAGATATATCATTTCAATCGTTTATATATTAAGAAATGTGTTTTTGGTTGGTGAGAAGTAATGCTCATTTTTGGGTCATTAAAATTTAATATTTTATCGATTGATGTATGATTTCAATGCTTTTCAAACAAATTTGCATTATTAACTGACAATTATCATTTTCAACTGTCGCTTTTGTTCATTTTGCGCAGTTACAAAAAGAACCATTTTCCAGTTGAATTTAAGCAAATACAGCGAGAATGAATTTTGTGGGACAGCTGATAAGTAATTAAACAGAAAAAAGTTTAAAAAGCATTTACCAAAGTTAAAATTGAACGAAAAATGGTGATTATTTGATGTTCGATGTCATCACAGCTCTCGGAATGTTGGCGGAATCATTACATCGGACTATAGCGCTTCCAATCAGCAGTGGCGAACAAAATTAGCCTTCTAATTAATTTCCGCACAACACTTCACCATATATCAGAAGTTGAAAAAATCAGGCCATAAAAATCTTGTCTCATTTATCAATAACTAAATGTGCCTTAGTTCTGATGGTCAACTGTTATTTCTACAAACATTTCGACAATTTTTTCCATAAAAAAAAAAGTATCATCAGAATTCAAAAAAGAAAATCCTCTAAAAGTCGGTCAAATTTTAATTTCTGTGCTGAAGGAGTAAAAAGAAAAACCCATTTATCACTATCAAAAATGTACTATTTGCCGCAGCTTTTAATTTCTTATTGATATATTTGAATTCATTTAGAATTATTTGAAGATTATCATTTACGAGAAATAAATAATTTGCTTATAATATAATTAAATATGCATGAAACAATAAAAGAACTTTTGAAACTATCAACTAAACTTATCATTTGCAGCTTATTGCTATCTTATCATTCATTGTCTTTTTTTCCACTTTACCTATCACATTATGTATAAGTGAGCAATTTAAATATCACTTTTCAACAGGATAGCTTATCAAAAATTGATCAGCTGAAGCGTGAAAAACTTCGCCAAAAAAAAGAAAAAAAAAAGTGGAAAGTGGAAAATGTAAAAAACGATTTGTAATAAAGAAAAAATGAAGAAATTAAAATTTTTTAAACTACGGAAAAAAGGAAAAAGCAAGGAAAATAATACATGAATGAAATAGTTTTTGAATTTCTATTTTCTTTTTTTCAAGTGAAAATTAGCAAAAAAAAAAAAGAAAAGATGAAATGAATATTACAAAATGGAGCGAAAATTGCTTGGTGAAAATAATTTGATGGAAGGACAAAAAAAAAAAAAAAACGAGAAAAGATTACGGATGAATGTAATTTATTTCAAATTTCTCAATATCAACTTGAAAAAAAAAATTCTATAGTAAGATTGCTTCAAAAATATGTATAACAATCTTCCGGTTGTTAACATTCTTTTTTTTTTTTTTTGTTTCTTGGAAGTATTTTACATTGAGACATAAAAAGAGAGAGAGAGAGAGAGAGAGAGAGAGAGAGAGAGAGAGAGAGAGAGAGAGAGAGAGAGAGAGAGGCTTTTTAAGTTTTGCACAAATATTAGCCACAATTATTTTTCGCATTTTTATATTATCCTTGAATATGGGTGAAGAATTAGTGCGTAATATTAAAAGTAAGTTTGAATTTTAATTTAAATTCTTCAAACAGCTTATAAATGAAATGGTCAAAATGAGCATTTTTCAAAATGAGAATTGCTTTATATATTTGAAGAAATAAAAAGATAATTATAATTAATTGTCAAATAGCATTTAAGTTATTATAAATGCTAATTTTATTATGATTACATGAAATACAAATTATATTAATTATAATATAATTAAATTGTTGATAATTATATCAACAATTAAATTGTGAATAATTGCCAAATTGTATTTTTCAAGGTGTTCTGCTTAATTAATTAACCTGAAGTTTTTTTATTAGCATCAGCGATAATAAAGTTATATTATTATTAGTATTTCATAAAATTGCTCATCGCTTTGTTTCATTTATCAAATAATATATCTGCATATTTTAAATTTATTGTTCAGTTTGAAACAGTTATTTTTCGGATTTTATTTTTATCAGAAAAATTGGATAGGTAAACGATTGGTCCGAATTTTGAAAGCCTCAGAGATTAGATCATTATATCATTTCCAATTTCAGAATCTGAATTATTTTTTTCGAAAAATATTAGCAATTGTAACGCTTTGAATATTTAAATATTATAATATTATAATTGAAATACATTGAATATGGATTGTATTCACCATTTGTAGGATGACAATGATGAGATGATCTTTGACCTTTCTATTTGAGATGGTTTTCACAATTTTATTGATGAAAAAGTACTTCGCAATATTTTTGCTAGAAAAAAGTAAAATTAAATGATGAATAAAATCACATAGTATGTTAGCATTGTAATTCGGAAAAAAATCCGAGTTAAGGTGTAAAATGACGAAATGTAAGATAATTAGCTTAATTATTAAGCTTACTGTGTGAACAATTTTACAGAAAAGGTACTGTATCGTGCACTTAATGAATATGCATTATATTCAATATGAAAATTTTCTTAAAAAATAAATCAGGGATAAATTTTTACAAAAATAACGCATTTTAATCAATAAGATACTGAATTTAATGATAGCACATCAATGTTAATATTTTATTCTTTTAATTTGGTGGATGA